TATATATATATATGTGAAAAGATCACCAAATCTTCAATAAATATTAAATTCGAGCCCATAATTTTAAAAGTGTAAAGGGTTCAATGGTAAGAATCTAAATGTTGAACCTATCAAATTTAAATCTTGGATCTGCCTTGAACGGGATGTGCAAGTTTGAAGTGGGAATCCAATTACATAACTCACTCTCAGCAAACTCTAAACACTGAGCTTCTCTTTCTTAAAGTAATCACAATGTGCAATTTTCAACAAAAGACACAATCAAGATAATTGCCAAACTCATTAACAAATCAAATATAAGTTCACAAACACTCAATTGATCTAATATTTGATACTAAAATGGCCCACACCCATGATCATGATTGCCAACTATTTGCATCCCTTCTCAATTTAGAAACTATCATTTCATATCTAGAATGCATTTTATGACTATGTGAGTTTCCTATTAATACGACCTGAATTACTAAAACCTCTACAAGTAGCTGGAAAAGGAGTGATATGTCGCGTACACAAGCTAATTAAAGTGAATGTCCATTCAGCACACAAATTTTTCGGCTCAAGTTAGTATTGGAGGTAACGACTTATGCTAAAGGAGCATGTTAGCTTATTTCCCATTTCATTTCCCCAGTATTAGTTCAATAAATAAACCCGCTTGTAAAGTGGTAGGTCATTACCTATCCTTTTAAATAACGAAATAGTCCTAGTTTTTTTTTTAGCTTAGCTCCTAGTCTCTCTTTGTTTTTACCTTCTCTATTGTGTTAGCCATGATTTGAACTTTATGAGTTCGAGTTTGAAATTCTACAACAACTGGTTTGATTTACTGGGTTAGGAATCTATTATTTGTACTTATTTAGTGGACTTTTAACACATATGCAGAGCCAAAGCTACTGAGTACTGATGAATACATAACTTGTAAACTAGGTTTGCCCCTGACTTAAATTGGCCTCAAATAGAGCAATATATAAAGAATTCATATCACCAACTCCAACTAGCTTGCAATTGAGGCGTAGTCGATTGATTAATTGAATTATAACACAACAAATCCAATTTTATTGAATACAGATTACATCAAGCAACTCAAAGCTCAATTTTACACCTTAATAGATTAAACAGACAAGAAGCAATAAAGCCCAAATTTTGAAAAGAAAAAAATAGATAAAAATTACACCTGATTAAGACTCTCTTCAGCAGCTTTACGTTCATCGCTGTTGGGACTAAGTGCTCCGCGAAGAATTATGGCCAAACTTTGAAAATCCATAATTCTAAAGAAAAAATGAAAATATGAGGAAAAAAGTCGTTAAAACTTAAGACAGACGAAAGTGCTGTGTGTGTCAGTTAAATCATCAGTGTTTAGGTGGCGGGAAGTAATAGTAGGACAACAGAAGTGTAGTTTAATTGGCTGGTTTTTGTTTTTAAAAAGGTACCTATGACTTTTACCAAACATTTAAAAAAAAAAAAAAAAAAGCTAAATAGACCAACTTTTGAACTAATCCGAACAACTCCTTAATTGTTTGCGTTGTTTAAGGAAAAAAAATATACATAAGGGGCGAGGAAGGGAAAATAGAGTTACAAGGCGAAGAATCTAACTCTCACCGACAAGTTAAAAAAAAAATTGTATGCTACTTCTTTTGTTCTTATTAGTTTCGAAAAGAATGAACCTTTTCTAATTTGAAAAAAAATTAACTTAAACTTTCAATTATATACATAATGTGGGTCATGTTTAAGACCACATATTTCAAATGACTTATATCCACATAAATGTTATGGATATTTAGAACCACATATTTCAAAAGTATTCATTTTTTTCTTAATTTCGTGTCCAGTCAAATAGGTTTACATAAATTGGAACGGATGCATTAATTTTCTAGGGATCTATTTTGTTTTTAAAAAGTATACCATGGATTTGATTGGTTGTCTACATAAGAAATAAGTACAACCTCGCATCTTGTTTGTAATTAATTTTTAATATATATATNTAATTATTGTGTATTAGAAATATTAATCGATATACGATATTTTATGAGATTGTTAGCTATTAGTGTCTTTTATTTGAATATGACAATTGATAAGTTGAAAAAAAAAAGAAAAAAAAAACTGTCATTATAATCTCAAAATCTATACTATATTAAAAGCACGAAAGCCCTTAGTCAAAGATCGTTCGCCTTTTTTACCCTTTAAATAATTAATTTCACACTAGACAAAATAGTCATTTTATTATTTTTCTAAATTTTAAAACTTTAAAATCAATTAGAATTTTGCATATTAAATATTTCCTTATTTAAACTTTTACGTAATTAGTCCTAATATTTAGTAGTTATGACTCAAGTATACTATAAACATTAAGAATCAAAACAAAATATTTCCTTTTCTAAGGTAAAGACAACTTAAGGTTTAGCATAGGTTGAAAGTTGCTTCGTTAACCAAAGAACGATATCATTATTTATGTCCAAATTTTAATAAGAAAACATGCTTAACTTTAGACAAACACTATTCTAAATGAACTAGCTTTAGGATACGCGCAATGCGCGTGAATCCGGTCTCAATGAGTATAATTTTTTTTTAATAATATTAAATTATAAAATAAAAGTGTACGTTCCTAGAGATGATCATGAATATCGATGTGTATAACTATCTCAATAATTAAAGAAACTATCTTAGAAGTCCTTAACATCAATAATTCAACTTAAAATTTGTTCCAAGTTTATAATTTCAGAATTTCAGTTTCACGGGCAAGAACCTTGGAAATCTAAATAATCTTGAAGTATACAACTTACAACATATAAGCATGTGACTAATAATCTACGAACTTTAAATAACACAAAATCAAAGTGCAGTAATAAACAAAAAAATGCATTAAAAATAAATAAATAAATAAAGTAAGTAAGCTAGTAAGATATTCTACAATTGAAAGGTAGCTAATAAACCCACTCATATTTAGCTAAATGTATCATGGATTAAAAATCAAAGAATAATCTCATAAATTATCTTGTTAATTTTGCGCCCTTTATTGATTTCTGCTCAACATTTTTCATAATTATAATAGTGTATTTAAATTTTTTAAAAGTTAAAAGTATAATATTGAATAATATTATTAGTGCAATAGCCTTATATATTTTTAAAAAGTGAATTATCTATGCTATTGTCCAAGAACTCGTACCTCTTCTTTCTTAAATATTTTACTTCTTCTTTTATTTTTATTTTTTATCATTTATATATAGTTTACGTGTAAGATTTATACAAAGTTTGAAATGAAAAAATAAATAAATTTTAACTTTCTTCATGGTTCAAATAAGAAACAAATTAATAAGTAATTCTTAATTAATTTTAAGCTCTAAAATTTTAAAAATAATAATTAAATAACTATTAAATGAAGTGTTTCTTATAATAAATTGAGGGACTTCGGAATATTTATATTTGTGTGATTAAGATCAAGTTTGAAATGAAAAGAAAAGGCATTAATTTTAAATTTTAGTCCTTTATTGAAGGTAAATATTATTTCCTAAATAGTATTCTATTTGGTTTAAGAAACTCACGTTTTCTTGTTAATAAATATGTTATGATGGCCAAAGGCTAAAAATTAGGATTCTTACTTAAGGAAATATTTAATAACCAAAATTTAGGTAATTTAAATACCCTAAATATTAGGAAAGTAACTTAAATTATAATTATGTCCAATGTGAAATTTATTTTTAGAGGGTAAAAAAGGCGAACGACATTTCGCTAAGAGCCTTCGTGCTTTTTATATAGTATAGATTGCCGTTATTCCTTTTTTCAGCTATTCGAACAAATGATAATTTCTGTATATTAAAAGCACGAATGCCCTTAGCGAAATGTCGTTCGCCTTTTTTGCCCTCTAAAAATAGATTTAACATTAAATAAAATTATAATTTTAATATTTAGGACTTTAATTTAAAATCAACTAAAATATTATTTATTAAATATTTCCTTATTTTAATTATATAAACAATCTTAATATTTAAGACTTTAAAATCATATAGAATCTTTTCCTTCCTTTTAGGTAAAATAAATTTCTTCCTTCCTAGACTTTGTTTTTTAAGTTTTCTTTAACGAGATAGAAGTGACAGGATGCTAGACTATTGCAACATGATTGAATTATGAAGAATTTTTTTATGATGATAAGATTTTTAATTATGAAGTTTGCCTTACTAGAATTATTGTAAAAGACGAAAAGGTATATGCTTTTGAATTCTATTTTTCCACGCGTACTATTTATTTTCTTTTACGGATAGTATTTTTTATTATATGTTTGCACAAGAAACAAGTTCAAGTAAATATAGCTAAATAAATTATAATTCAACCATTGAATTCGTACATAACATATGCCAACTTGATATGATTACCGGAATTAATTTCTTTTTTTTAAAAAAAAAACTTATAGAAATGCCTACAAAAGGACACATAACAATTTCATGTCAAGTTCAAAATATAATTTTAGAGATGATGAACAAATTATTATAATAATTTTATCGTTAATTTCTTTATATCAAGTATATTCTGCTAATTGGTCCCACATAATAGAAGTGAATTGAATAGCTTTAGTAATTGGAGGCAAGACATGAAATCACGATAAGGCATCTGATATCTGTGTTATTAAGCTAGCTAAATTAGATTAGCATTCCTAATTTTTATGAATTTATATATTTTTTAATTATTTATAACTCAAATATATAATTTAATAATATTTACATAATTTTTTTAAGTTGTGTAAATATAAGATACACGTACTATTACCTCTTTTAATTAGAGTTCACATTGAATAAAATAGTTATTTTATTATGAGCCCTAAAAATTGAAGTACTACTACTATTTTTTTTTCTTGGACGAAATGAACTACTATTATTTATTCTTCTTTTTTATCTTTGGATCCAGTACTATTGATTATTCTAAATGTGAAGCTAGACGAGGAATAAGAGTTATAATAAGCCAATATATGATAAATATAAGAGAATTAATTTTTATTTATTAATAATCAAGAGCCTTCTAATTGGTAGAAAGACTGAATTCAGTAGTGATAAGAAATATTTATCTTAACAACAAAAATTCCAAACAAACAAATTGCTCAATATTAGAAATTACATTATTGGTAAATAATGATGGACGACTACAACTACTAATTTATTAGTATTGAAATTGCACTAATCAACAAACTCACAAAGTTTACTAGCAAAATAATCTAGTTTCAATGGTTTAAATTTGGTTGGTGAAATTTTATTTTCTAATATTTGAAGGCACTAAATTTTATTTGACATAAAAGGGAAAAGCAAAAAAAGAATTAGCTCTTTTTTTGCTTCGTGTTTTAGACCACTAAGCATGTCATTATTATAAAGGATAGTTGCCTAACTCACAAAGTTAAAACCCTAAATCAAAATTATTCAAAGTTCAAGTCGAAAAATAAATTGCTATGGATGAGATAATATTTATATAATTTTTTAAGATTTATTAATTTTAATAGAATAATATAAATCTTTTGTAGACATCCAATATGAATCCTAAATATTACAGAGTACTAATAATTTTATGTTTGGTATTTTTCTTAAATATATCAAGGATTTGAAATTTTACACTCTAATACAATGCTTAAAAATAATTAAATTTTTGAATTTATTACAATGACATGTTGGTCTATCTTTTATCCGTTAAAAATAATTTTGATATTAAAAAAAATTGTAATTTAATTATCTTTTTAATATTTAAGACTTAAAAATTAACTATTTTTTAAAGTGAAATGTCAGATCAATTTTTTGTTATCCTTTGAACATAAAAGTTTTATTTTATAGAAATATTGTTATAGTTAAACGCTAAAAACTTGGAATGAGCTAAATATTAAGAATTTTAATCTAGAAAAGTTATTTCCTCAAATTTTGAGAAAAGGTAATTAATGTTTTAATTGATTTAAGAAAATAACTCTTTGAATCAACTAATTTGTTAAAGAATAAAATTCAATTCTTTTACGAATTCATCATATAAGTAATTGCAAAACTTTTAGTGTACGTAAATTTATTTCCATAAGAAGAACATTGAATATGAAAGAGATAAAAAATTCGAGCAACATTAATTACAATATAGTATTGAGAGTTGGTTACACACACAAAACGCGTACTCTAAGACTAGGAGTATAAAATAACATAAGTAAACTAATTAACATGGAATCACAAAGAAAACCCAGTGCTTGGCAAAGTTTACAAGAATAAAAATTAATTAAACTAGAGTTTAGAACCACATC